TTGGAGCATAAGCTTTCGTGGGTGAATGTCCACTTCGTCGGATGCATATCACATGCATCCAACGAAGTGGGCATTCACCCATGAAAGCTTATGCTCCAATACATCTTTTAGTCTTAAAGGTGCCACAGGACTCTCTGTTGCTTTTTACAGATCCAGAGTAACACGGCTACCCCTCTGATATTATCTTCCTACAGTGACCGATGCCAGGTGCCTCAGAGGGAATGAACAGAAGAGGTAGTCATCAAGTGATCCATCCCCTGTTGCCCATTCCCAACTTCTGGCAAACAGAGGCTAGGGACACTTCAGAGCATTGTTTTTCATCCCTGCCTAATAGCCACTGATAGGCCTATCATCCATGAATTTATCTAGTTCTTTTTTGAACCCTGTTATAGTCCTGGCCTTCACAACATCCGCTGGCAAGGAGTTCCACAGGTTGACTGTGCATTGTGTTAAGAAGTACTTCCTTTTGTTTGTTTTAAACCGGCTCCCTATTTATTTCATTGGGTGACCCTAGAAGCCTGGAACATACCCACACACTTGATGAAGAAAATCATCCAGAGAACTTCTCTGTTCACTAATGTAACTAGAACAACGAACTCACCAGAAAAAATGGCAGAACTGAGGAGGAGGAAAATGCCAGTTTCACAGGAGTATTTGGGAGTTTGAGATAAGCCACCCCTCTCAGGGAACATGCAAGCAGGCTCTCACCACAACCAAATCATGCACTCACACAGGCAAAAGCAGCAACACCAGTCTCTACCCTCATTTCCTGTCAGCACACAGCACTGAAAAGGGCTCTAGAATGTATATTTTTTTAAAAAATTTCTCCTGTGACAAATTCAAGTTGCAGTGGAATTTAACTGACCCATAAAATGTGTGAAGAATAATACATATTAATTGTGCCATCAGCCCATAGATAAAAGCGTAGATGACCAACAGTAACTCTATTAGATGGCCAAGGAAGGCAGAGACTATGCTATAATTTAGTCTTCAAGGTCATGGCATGAAAACATCCACAAACCTACAGAAAGGAGAGGAAAGATGCAGAGGTTGTTTAGTCACCTACATAAAGTGAAAGGATTAGCTCAGGTTAGCTCTTAATGGACAGAAGTCCACTGTTCTCAGTGGTGGTAGATGACAGAGCAAGGAGCAATGGTCTCAAGTTACAGTGGGGGAGGTCTAGGTTGAATATTAGGGAAAACTATTTCACTAGGAGGATGGTGAAGCACAAGAATGAGTTCCCTAGGCAGGTGGTGGAATCTCCATCCTTAGAGGTTTTTAAGGCCCGGCTTGACTGGGCTGGGATGATTTAATTCGGGTTAGTCCTGCTTTGAGCAGAGGGTTGGACTAGATGACCTCCTGAGGTCTCTTCCAACCCTAATGTTCTATGATTCTATGATCACTTCTCAAAAAAATATAACAAGCAAAATAATCGAGGTGACTGGCTCCTTTAACTGTCTCAGCAAAGAGATGCAGATGCCAGACTGAATGAACATGAAAAAAGTGAACTCTCCTCCTTCCCTCAAGCTGGTCCCTCTAGGAGCAAGGTGTGTAAGTTTGTACTACTGCTGCTGCTCATGGCAAGTCTGCAGAGCTGTCAGTCTGACACTGAACATACCAAAATGGTCCCACTGCCCTTTGTTACACATATCCATAGCAATATAGAAAAAAGTCCAAAAAGAGTTTCAAAAGGCACAGAAAGAGCATTAACAGAAATCTATTCAATCTAGCAGAGCTCAGCATTTTTACTCCCAAACCTAGCCCATTTGACCACCCTCTTCCTTTCCTTACCTAATGCTTCTTGGCAACTGCAAATCAGTATTATTTTTCCCCACCTGAAAAGTCTTACGCCACCTATTTAAATTCATTAAAGAGTCTGATTCTGATTTCACACTGGTAAAGCTTGGTGACTTCACTGGAGTTACTGCTGATTTACACCAGTTTAGCACATATCAAGATCAAGCCTCCATCTTTCACTTCAACCTTACCTGACATTTTTAAGCATGTACAGAACTTCTGATGGCAAGTGGGAATTCTTCACATCAAATTCAGTTAGATCTGCTTCCAGCAGGGAGGGAGGCGGCTCCTTTGGTTGCAGAGTTGGAGACTCCTTCTTAAAACGCAAAATCCTACAAGAGAAAAAGCAAAATGAACAGAATTCAGGGGCTCAGTCAGCTTTTGTTCATGCTGGGCTTTTGAATTACAAGCTTTTTTAAAATTAATTATTTATTATTATTATTATAATAAAGCAGTGAGGGTCTCAATTTCCAATGCAGTTCCTCCCTTTTCTGACCAACAGCAGACTTAAAAAAAAAAAATTCTAACAGATCTCCCTTTCCCTCCCCCACCCCACAAAAAATAGTGAACATTTCCTGGGGCATATCCAGATTCAGGGCTTAGACACAACCCAGGGTCAAATAAAGGGAGTCTGTGTGGGGGCCCAGCCAGAATGAGGTAGACACAAGCCTGACACTACAGTACACAACAGTTCTGGGTAGAGTTGATGCCTCATAGCTCATCACCAGCTCTATCCCTGCACTCCTCCTTGAGCCACTGTGCATTCTAGAGACTATGGAACAAACCTGCACAGCAGCTAAGAACTACCGCAAACCTCCCCACTTTCCACTTCCAGTGCAACTTTCATTATTGGGGAAGAGTAGAATTTATTCCATTTTAATCCAGTGTTTGCCAGAAAAGTGGGCAAATGCATTGGAAACCATGAGACCTTCACTACTTTATGAGAAAAGCTGGTCATCCAAAAGCCCAACATGAACAGAGACGGACTGAGCCTCTTGGAAATCTAAGTTTACAAAACAAATAGAAGTCCTTCACCCTTAGAGCCACAGGACCCAAACTAGAACTCCTACAATTGTAGTATAAAGTTAATTGCATCTGTACATGGCCACAGCAATTCACAGGACCTCCATTACCACGTAACTGTACCTCTTAGCCAAAGACAAAACCTTTGCTCTTTTCCGCATCCTTTGACGAGGCACCATGTTCCCAACCAGAGAGTTTGGGAGAGTTGTCACCTACAGGAAACAACAAAACAAAAATCTGTTTCAAGAGAATTCCAACAACCGCTAAAGGTCCTGACCCTGCAAAGTCACACGCCCATGTGGCACCACTGGAATCCATGTAAAGTTAAGTGCATGTGTAAGGCTTTGCAGGATCAGGACCTACATGAGCACTAGGGCAGTGTGCTACATCATGGCATTTTCTTTTTAGAGAGAAGTTTCATCATACTTTTTAGTGAGCAATTAATATAATGGTGATGGGAAATACAGAAAAAACTTAGACCATTTCTGTCCAAGAATTGCAAGCACCAGAAACATAGAAGTAATCTTTTAAAGTGTAAATATTAGTCTGGCAATCACTAATGCTGATGCACTGAGACCTGATACACTTAATCAATGCCAACAGACTTATACATTTTAGTGAAATATATAAATGAGGACACCTGTCCTAATACTGAAATAGCACAATAAATGCAGTAACTGGAGTGCCACTTAGTGGAGGAACGCAAACATTGCAAGATCAAGAAAACTTCCTAGTTTTTATTTTTTAAATATCCTGTTTATCCCTCAGGAAATTCGATTCCATTATATGCTTCTGTAATGAGAATTTTCAGACTCTGTCTCATCTCTTGTATCAACAGACAAGTGGGTCTCTGGGCCATCAATATCTCCAAGCATCATAAAATCAGAAACTCAGCAATTTAACTTTACCAGAAGTACAGCAGACAGAAACTACTATCTTTCACCTGCTTTATACCTTCAGACAAATAATAAAAATAAACACAGGTCTAAATTCCCAGAAGAAAAAGAAAAGGTGATTTTACCATATGGAATACAAAGTGCCTTCCAATATGAGCATCTCAGTGAAAGGTCTGTAAGGGGTTTGTTTGTGGGTTTTTTTGGCCTTTTTAAAAAAAACAAAAAAACCCAACAACAAGGGCAAAACAACACATTTTCCCCAGATGCCTACCCAGAAATGACTGAATACCCAGCATCCAAAACTTCAGCCCAAACAATTAAAGTATGGTAAAGTTAAAAGCAACTGCAAAAACAGATCTTACAATGGGAAGTGTTAGTCAGACAGCACTACTAGACCACCTATAATACATTTATTTTTTACAAACAGTTATTTCTCGTGTATTTAGTCTGATTGTTTCTCCATACCTCCCATGTCCCCTTGCATGGAGTTATACGGATGTTAAGCTTTCTCTTGCCTGTTGAAGACCACACAATTAAGCTAAATGTAAGCCAAAAATGGGAAACTGAATTGCATTCTTTACTAAGGCCTGGTCTACACTAACCCACCAAGTCGAAGTAAGGTATGCAACTTCAGCTACGTGAATAACGTAGCTGAAGTCGACATACCTTACTTCGAACTTACCGCGGTTCAGACGCGGTCCACACGCGGCAGGCAGGCTCCCCCGTCGACTCCACGGTACTCCTCTCGTTGAGCTGGAGTACCGCAGTCGACGGCGAGCACTTCCTGGTTCGATTTATCGCGTCCAGACCAGACGCGATAAATCAAACCCGGAAGTTCGATTTCCAGCCGCCGAACTAGCGGCTAAGTATAGACCAGCCCTAAGAGAGGAAACTGTTTCTTCAAAATCAAGATGTCCTCTTTACATAAATCTGTCAATAGGAAACAATAGGACATTCACTCCATCCCAGTGTAGGGGGAGAAAAAAGAAAAAAAAAAAAAAAAAAACACCACACATTCTGGAGAAAGAGTGGCCAGTTGGAAGAAATCAGCAGAAGAACAAAATTGGGATCAAAGTGCATTTAGGAAGACTGAACACCTATATTTCCCAAATTGGCTAAGGATGTCCTTTCAGGAATGGCATAAGGCTTAGAAATCTGGACTCTCCCCACAAACAAAGCAAGAAATTGCTCCAGTCTCTTGAGAAGTCCTGCATGGTGAGACAGCAAGAACTGGCATTTGCAACAAACAATACTTCAAAGATCAAGAGAGGCATGTCATGGCAGACAGACATTTCACCAGAAATAGAACAGCTGCCAAAGACAGACAGTTAAGCAGCTCTAAGGAAAATCCTGGCAAAGTGTCTCAAAATGGCAAAGTCTATGAAAACAGCACTGATGCAGAAAACACACACAGAGATGTTATGGGCCTGGTCTACACTAGGAGTTTATGTCGAATTTAGCACCGTTACATCGAATTAACTCTGCACCCGTCCACACCACGAAGCTATTTAGTTCGACATAGAGGTCTCTTAAATTCGACTTCTGTACTCCTCCCCAACGAGGGGAGTAGCGCTAAATTCGACATGGCCATGTCGAATTAGGCTAGGTGTGGATGGAAATTGACGCTAATAGCTCCGGGAGCTATCCCACAGTGCACCACTCTGTTGACGCTCTGGACAGCAGTCCGAGCTCGGATGCTCTGACCAGCCACACAGGAAAAGCCCCGGGAAAATTTGAATTCCTTTTCCTGTCTGGGCAGTTTGAATCTCATTTCCTGTTTGGACATCGTGGCGAGCTCAGCAGCACTGGCAACGATGCAGAGCTCTCCAGCAGAGATGGCCATGCAATCTCAGAATAGAAAGAGGGCCCCAGCATGGACTGATCGGGAAGTCTTGGATCTGGTTGCTGTGTGGGGCGATGAGTCCATGCTTTCCGAGCTGCGATCGAAAAGACGGAATGCAAAGATCTACGAGAAGATCTCTAAAGCCATGGCAGAGAGAGGATACAGCCGGGATGCAATGCAGTGCCGCGTGAAAATCAAGGAGCTGAGACAAGGCTACCAGAAGACCAAAGAGGCAAACGGATGCTCCGGATCCCAGCCCCAGACATCCCGTTTCTACGAGACACTGCATTCCATCCTAGGTGCGGCCGCCACCACTACCCCACCACTGACCGTGGATTCTGAAGATGGGATATTGTCAACGGCCGCTTCCTCGGAGATGTTAGCGGATGGGGAAGATGAGGAAGGAGATGAGGAGGACGAGGTAGTCGACAGCGCTTACAACGCTGATTTCCCCGACAGCCAGGATCTCTTCATCACCCTTACAGAGATCCCCTACCAACCGTCCCCAGGCGTTAACCCGGACACAGAATCAGGGGAAGGATCAGTCAGCAAGTGTTTTAAACATGTAAACATTTATCTTTTAACAGAACAGGAATATTAACAATATTAACAATGGGTTTTTCATGATTAGTTTTCCCTAGGCGCTTAACGTTTCAGTCCTTGGCAGTGCAACTACTGAAAAAAAAATCTAACAATGTCCGGTTTAGCATGATTGTTTTGCCCTAGGCGCTCTACTGTTTAGTCCCTGCCAGTGCAGCTACAGTAAAATCCGATCTATATGTCCGGGGATAGAGCAGAAATCCTCCTGGGACATCTCCACGAAGCTCTCCTGGAAGTAATTGGAAAGCCTTTGCATCAGGTTCCTGGGGAGAGCGGCCTTATTGGGTCCTCCGTGGTAGGAAACGTTTCCGCGCCAGGAGACAATCAAGTACTCGGGTATCATTGCCTTGCAGAGCATGGCGGCATACGGCCCTGGTCTTTGCAGGCTTTCCCGAAGCATCCGTTCTTTCTCCGTCTCTGAAATCCTCATCAGAGTGATGTCGCTCATGGTGACCTGCTTTGAATTAGGTAGGGGAATGTTAGTATTGGGACTGCTTGCCTGTTCCTTTACAGAACTGTAACCGGCGGTTTACAGCCACGCGGTGGAGGCGGGAGAGGGGCAGCATACAGGGATCTTTCCCTGGGACAGCCGCGAGGGGGTGGGACAGGGGCAGAGTTCATGCTTGCCAGATTGCTGGCAGCAGGAACTGGCCAACGCTAGGAGCATTGCTTTGACCGTGAAAGGAGGCCAGTGCTATTATTAAAGTTTTAAGCAGCCACAAGTCTATAGCTTACCATGTCAACCTGTTACCCAAATTCCGCTGTCCTGTCCCGCTTGCCTGATCTGCACTGCAAGACCCCAGGCACTGAATGCGAAGGCCGAAAATTCGACCTTGTCCTGAGTGCGCATGTGATAGGTGCTGTGCATGGTCTTGTTCACAGAGAAAGACTATGTTCTTTGTTCACCAAAAAATTTATCTTTCTGAGGAATTCACTCCCTTTTTCCCATCCCACAGCTGCAACTGTCTCCCGACCTACCCTGGCATCACACTCCCAGAGGCTAGTGCAGATTAGGCGTAGGAAGAAGAGGACACGGGAGGACATGTTCTCGGAACTTATGGGCTGCTCCCGAGCCCAGGCAGCCCAGCAGACCCAGTGGAGGGAGAACTTGTCCCAAATGCACCGATCACACATGGAACGGGAGGAGAGGTGGCAGCAGGAAGACCAGCAGGCGACTCAAACGCTGCTTGGACTAATGAGGGAGGAAACGGACACGCTCCGGCGCCTTGTGGATGTTCTGCAGGACCGGAGGCAGGAGGACAGAGCCCCGCTGCAGTCTATCTCTAACCGCCCTCCCCCGCCACAAAGTCCCATACCCCCCTCACCCAAAGTCCCAAGAAGGAGGGGCAGCAGAGTCCGTGAAAACTCTCACTCCACCCCTGCAGACTGCTCAAGTACCAGAAGGCTCTCATTCCCCAAAATTTGATAAGTCCTTTCCTTCCCGCCTCACCCAAGCCCCCGTCCCAGTTTCATCCCCCAGTTTCATGTGTAGTTGCTAATAAAAAATACGTTTCTGTTAATTACTGTTTCCATCATGTTCTTTTAGAGGAGAGTCTGTTTGAAGGGGGGGAAGGGGGTTGGTAATTGGACAGGACAGTCACCTTTACCAGGGTACAGACGCGGGGGCAGGTTCAGCAGCAGGGCACACACACATTGCAGTCACTAGTTACCCTGGTCAGTCTGGGAGGTGGTTTTCATGTTCTGTGGGGGGGGGGGCTATGTGACTTTGTGGCGGGGGAGGGCGGTTAGAGATCTTATGCAGCGGTCCTTATCCTGGATCACAGAGCCATGCCGCAGGGGATCTGTAACCGTCCTCCCCCTGCCACAAAGTCACATAGCCCCCACACACAGAGTCCCCAACAGGAGGGGTGGCAGGCTCCGTTGAAACAACCAGTCCACCAGTGCGGAGCCTGTCATTCCTGGAGTTTAGAAGCGTCCTTTGCATCACTACACTACACCCGCTCCCCACCACAGTCTGCGTCCCAGGTTCAACACTTTACCGCGAAAACAGTAATAAAGAAAACGGTGTTCATTAACAAAATTCAAGTGATTTTATTTTTAAACGTGTGTTGGAAGGGGGTGAACGGGGTATGTAACTGGAGAGGATAGTGAACATTTACTGGGTAAAGAAACGGGGGCAGGTTCAGCTTCTCTGTAAACAAACTTAATAGTCACAGGTTACCCTGCTCACTCAGGAACCTAGCTTTCAAAGCCTCCCGGATGCACAGCGCGTCCCGCTGGGCTCTTCTAATCGCCCGGCTGTCTGGCTGGGCATAATCAACAGACAGGCTATTTGCCTCAACCTCCTACCCCGCCATAAAGGTCTCCCCCTTGCTCTCACACAGATTGTGGAGCACACAGCAAGCTGCAATAACAATGGGGATATTGGTTTCGCTGAGATCAGAGCGAGTCAGTAAGGTTCTCCATCTCCCCTTGAGACATCCAAAAGCACACTCCACCATCATTCTGCACTTGCTCAGCCAGTAGTTGAAGAGTTCTTTTTCAGTGTCCAGGGCGCCTGTATAGGGCTTCATGAGCCAGGGCATTAGCGGGTAGGCTGGGTCCCCGAGGAGGACTATAGGCATCTCCACATCCCCAAGAGTTATTTTGTAGTCCGGGAAGTAAATACCTTCCTGCAGCCCTCTAAACAGACCAGAGTTCCTGAAAACATGAGCATCATGAACCTTGCCCGGCCATCCGACGTTGAAGTTGGTAAAACGTCCCCTATGGTCCACCAGTGCTTGCAGCACCATTGAAAAGTAGCCCTTTCGGTTAATGTACTGGCTGGCCTGGTGGTCCGGTCCCAGGATAGGGATGTGAGTTCCATCTATAGCCCCACCGCAGTTTGGGAATCCCATCGCGGCGAAGCCATCTATGATGACCTCCACGTTTCCCAGGGTCACTACCTTTGAAAGCAGTAGCTCAACGATTGCGTTGGCTACTTGCATCACAACAACCCCCATGGTAGATTTGCCCACGCCAAAGTGGTTCGCGACTGACTGGTAGCTGTCCGGCGTTGCAAGCTTCCAGAGGGCTATGGCCACTCGCTTCTGGACACTCAGGGCTGCTCGCATCCGGGTGTCCTTGCGCTTCAGGGCAGGGGACAGCAACTCACAAAGTTCCAGGAAAGTCCCCTTCCGCATGCGAAAGTTTCGCAGCCACTGTGATTCATCCCAGACCTGCAGCACTATGCGGTCCCACCAGTCCGTGCTTGTTTCCCGGGCCCAGAATCGCCGTTCCACAACATCAACATGACCCATTGCCACCATGATGTCCTCGGCGCGGGGTCCCGTGCTTTGTGACAGGTCTGTGCCACTCTCAGACTTCAGGTCCTGACCGCGCTGCCGTAGCCTCCTCGCCCGATTTCTCAGTATCTGCCTCTGGGAAAGGTGGATGATAAGGTGCGAGGTGTTGACAACGGCCATAACTGCAGCGATGGTCGCAGCGGGCTCCATGATCGCAGTGCTGTGGCGTCCGCGCTGTCACTGACCAGAAAACTGCGCGAACTGATTTCCCGCCGGCGCTTTCAGGGAGGGAGGGCAGGAGTGACGGTTCGATAACAACAGTTACCCAAAACCACCCTCGACACATTTTTTTCCCCAGAAGGTATTGGGGGCTCGACCCAGAATTCCAATGGGCAGCGGGGACTGCGGGAACTGTGGGATAGCTGCCCACAGTGCACCGCTTCCAATGTCGACGCTTGCCCCGTTAGTGTGGACTCACAAAGTCGAATTACTGTCCTTAGTGTGGACACACACATTCGACTTTGTAATATCGATTCCACATATTCGATTTAAGTAAAATCGAACTACTCTCGTAGTGTAGACATACCCATGATTTACCCCAGAGCCTGTCATAGTAATAGTAGGACGTTGCTGCTACTGAAAGCTTCCATACGAAAACCGGCAATTTGTTTGCAAATACAACAGGAGTCACTTAACAACAAGTTCTACCATTCTGCTTGAAAAACAGTTCCACTATTATCTTGTTTTCATCATTCACATGTTTTTTTTTATTTTTAAATCCTTTTGTGATGGAAGTGCTCATGTCTATCCTGCCCAAAGGTGTCTGATCTTTGTGTGAAAAGTTTGAGGACATGCTGTTTGCCCAGACACACACACTTTTCAATTTATTGTTAACTGTCTTTTCGTTCTGGGTTTGTACAGCACCTACCATAATGGGGTCCTGGTCCATGAGTGGGCCACCCAGGCACTATGGTAATATAAATAATAAATAGGGAACATGGAACAGCCTCCTGGTCAGGTCTCCAGACACTTATTCTCTCCCACATATACAGACTTTTTGGATACAGGATCATTAGATAGCACAGTTAAAAGAAGAAGTCAGAACTCCAAGATTCCTACAATAATGGGATCTCAGCCACAATGCCGATATGTCACATTTTCTATTCCTTGTTAAATGGCTATCGCAATATATTATCCCTTATGTCATTACATGAAAAACCATAATACACACAAATACAAGACAGCCTGTGTAACACATGTGTTAGAATCTTAATTTCTCCATTTCCTGATTTATCTTATACCTCATGCACTGATTACATAGTCCTAGAGATAAAACAATCAAGGAACCCTATCCATGCCATTTTTACCAAGACGCTATTCAGATTAAAACTAAAAAATAAAGAACACTTTACCTGGCAAGATAAGATAGCAAGAGTCTCTGCCATCACTTACACTTAAAGGGTAGGGAGATGTTGTAGGTATTAATGAGGTTTATTGGTTTAAATAGACATCAAGAATAAATCATCACACCAAGGTCTTAGCAGTTTTTTTCATATGAAGGATGAAGTCATTTTAATTATCTTATTTCCAAATGTAACAGTACGGATAAGTTTCAAGTTCAAATGCATGCCCCATTAAGGAGCTTGAATCTTAAGGGCAACACAAAAGCTTGTTTTTTTGATAAGTGTAAAAGTATTTTAAATGCAAATCCCCATTTACCTTACTAAAGTTTCAAGAGTAGATGGACACAAATCAGACGTCAAGAATTACAACATTCAAAAACCAGTCAGAGAATACTTCAACCTCTCTGGTCACTCGATTACAGACCTCAAAGTCGCAATACTCCAACAAAAAAAAACTTCAAAAACAGACTCCAACGAGAAACTGCAGAATTGGAATTAATTTGCAAACTGGACACCATTAAATTAGGCTTGAATAAAGACTGGGAGTGGATGGGTCATTACACAAAGTAAAACCTATTTCCCCATGCTAATTTTTTCCCCTACTGTTACTCACACCTTCTTGTCAACTGTTGGAAATGGGCCATCCTGAATATCACTACAAAAGTTTTTTTTCTCCTGCTAATAGCCCACCTTAACTGATTACTCTCGTTATAGTTAGTATGGCAACACACATTTTTTCATGTCCTCTGTGTATGTGTGTGTATATATATATATATATATATCTTCCTACTGTATTTTCCACTGCATGCATCCGATGAAGTGGGTTTTAGCCCACGAAAGCTTATGCTCAAATAAACTTGTTAGTCTCTAAGGTGCCACAAGAACTCCTGTTCTTTTTGCTGATACAGACTAACACGGCTACCGCTCTGAAACCTGTCAATTAGTTTTCTGGCTCTCTAGATCACCATGCCATCTAAGCAGCTTAAAAATAAAAGACCACAAACACAGAGAGAACCCTAAAAATAGAAACAAGGATGGAGCATTTTTCAAAGAAACTGAATTGTTCATTTTAAAGTCTCTCTCGCTCTTTCAGCATTTAACATATACGTTAGTTTAAAAAAAAAATTTTCACACACAGATTGGTCTTAGGAGGTCACCAAGTCATACACTTGAAATTGATTTTTAAAAGTAGGGACAGAAAGGGAGACTTTGGATAGTTTAGGAACTATTAGTGAAGTTTTATACTTATGCATGCTAAGACCTGGACAATCATGTCTCATCTCTCAGGTTATAAAACTGGTAACCATAAGAGTTAGGAAGGAATCTTTCCCTTCCACACACAGCCCTGCAAAACTAGAAAAGTGCATTCTTTCCTAGGGGAAAGAGGAACTTGCTCTGAAACATCAGGCATTACCCACTATCTGTTAACAGGATACTGACTACAAAACTTATGGTCTGATCCAGGATGACAATCCCAGCGTATTAGAGACTTCTCTTCTGAAAATATGCAGTGGGGCTGGGGCTAATAACCATGGTAAGCAGGTCAGGCATCTGGGGGGTTCACATTTATCTTCCTGGATTTTAATCTTTATTTTCCATCCTCCCTTCCTCTCCATTAGATGTACTTACCTTTCTCATGATCTTCCGCCCATAAAACATTACTTTGTCTCTCTTGCGAAATCTGTACTGAGGCACTTGTGGCTGAGGTTGTCCTGAAACACAAAAGGATCATCAAATAACTGCAGATAGTTTGTAACAAGGGGAAAGAGGAGCATGCAGATGCATTGAACTTGCTCACTAGTTGGAATCCAACTTACATTACTAATAGAAATTCATGTGAAACTCTCAACTGTTCCTGTTGGAGACTAGGCCAAAAACCCACGCCTCTTTGTCAGTACAATTTCAAATGAATGACAAGAAAGAAACCTATTCTGTCCAAACACTCTTTTGGGATGATGAACTACCTATGTTCAAGTTGTCAGTGGACTAATTTAACCCTGTGTTACTTTTGCCTCACAATGTAGTTGATTATGGGATGTATTCCAAGGAATCTTGATTGTAGGTATCATGGGGTCAAAAACTGCTAAGGAGGTAGCAAAAATACAAATGGTAGGGAAGCCAGAGTGTGAGACTTCTTCTAGTCAGTCCTGGAAGCAGCACTGACCAAAGGGAGCCAAGTACAGTGCTTATTTCCCAGAAGAGAAGGTCATCATAATACTTAGTGAGGAGAGGAAGAGAAAATAAGGACAGTCCCAGAAGTCTCTTCCCACCATCATCTCCCCACAGAGAGGTAGATCTCTAAACACATTAGGATTTTTAAGTATTACTCCTTGAAGGATATGTTTCATTCATACTTTCCAAGCAGCTTTAACGTCATAGGTGCAGAATCCCTATAGTGCTGAATAACTGCCAGTCGTGCTGTCTGCGGCAAGCGATTTTAGGAACCATTCCCATTTCCAAAGCTTCTCTTTATCTAGAGCAGGGCCTGCTCTCACAGGAAGGCACAGAGTCTGTGAGAAAGATGCTGACTGCAATTATGCTCTCTGAGTCCTTTAGCAGACTATGGTTAGATCCTAGAGAAAACTCTCAGCTATGGCAGATCAACGCTGGTCACCAGAGGTGCCGACTTCCTAATGTGCCCCCTCGGCTCTGCCCCAGACCCCACCCCACACATTCCCCCAAGGCTCCGCCCTGCCTCTTCCTGCCCCAATTCAACCCTCGAGCGCACCCTGCCCGCGCTCCGCCCCCCTTCCCTCCAGCACGCCACTGGACAGCTGATCACCAGCGGGCGGAAGGTGCTGGGGGGGAGGGGGATGTGCTGATCAGCAGGGCCACCAGCAGGCAGAAGGCGCTAGGAGGAGGGGGAAAACCTGATCGGGGGTGGGGGCGCTGCCGGTAGGTGCTGAGCACCCACCTTTTTTTTCCCGTGGGTCTGGAGCACCCACAGAGTCGGCGCCTATGTTGGTTACATGGCTACTACTGAAGCATAAGGATGTGCAATGACAGTCGCCTATCCATAACAGCGTGCAGCCCAGAAGGAGATGCAGGAAAATAAAACAGCTGAAGTTCACTGAAGGGAAATTCAAATTTCCCATGTAGCCCCTGAACTATCAAAGCCCAAAAATCATTCTCAGCTCTGTCTTATTTTCAAACAGTCAAAAACACTCACCTAAAGTCAGATGTTAAAGCTTTGTTTGTCCAGTTCACATTCACCCTCGTGATCGAGGTGATAAAAGGCTTGTTTTTTGTTTTTAACACTCTTGAAAAAGCATTTGTGATACTTTGAGAAGCTCTGGTGAGCTCAGACAGCTCTTGGGAGCGGGAGACACACAGGAGGGAAATCGAAAAAAGGATTTAAAGAAACCAAGGGCTGTTAGCACTGCCTGATATTGGAAATACAGAACAGCAGTAATCTATGCTGTTTGTCTGCTTTTCCCTTTGATATAGGCACCCTCATTTGTACAATAAGATTTATTAAATACACTAAGGGTACGTCTACACCAGGAAATTAGGTCGAATTTATAGAAGTCGATCTTTAGAAAGCAATTTTATACGTCGATCGTGTATGTCCCCACTAAGCACAGTAGGTCAGCGGAGTGCGTCCTCAATACCGTGGCTAGCATCGACTCACGGAGTGGTGCACTGTGGGTAGCTATCCCACAGTTCCCGCAGTCTCCGCTGCCCATTGGAATTCTGGGTTAAGCTCCTGATGGGGCAAAAACATTGTCGTGGGTGGTTTTGGGTACATGTCGTCAGTCGCCCCTCCCTCCGTGAAAGGAACAGCAGACAATCGTTTCACACCTTTTTTCCGTGCAGACGCCATACCACGGCAAGCATGGAGCCCGCTCAGCTCAGCTCACCGTCACTGCTGCTGTTGTGTCCTGGGTGCTGCTGGCAGCAGACGGTGCAGTAGGTCTGCAAACCATCGTCATCCACCGCTTCCGCTGCAACTCTGCTTTCCTGCTGTTGTAAATGAACTCAGTCCCAATTGAGTAAATGATGACTGAGCTCAATAGAGTAAATGAATTCAGTCATCCACTGCTTCCTCTGCAACTCTGCTCTCCTGGTGTCATGAATCCACCTCGCAGGTCCTCTCGTCATTCGGTATAAATATCTATTCTCGTGGCATCTGTCGTCATCCACCGCTTCCGCTGCAACTCTGCTCTCCTGCAGACGCCATACCACAGCAAGCATGGAGCCCGCTCGGCTCACCACTGCTGTTGTGAGCATTGTAAACACCTTGCACATTATCCTGCAGTAGGTGCAGAACCTGCAAAAGCAAACGAGGAGGCGACGACAGCGCGATCACGATAGTGATGAGGACATGGACACAGACTTCTCTCAAAGCACGGGCCCTGGCAATTTGGACATCATGGTGCTAATGGGGCAGGTTCATGCCGTGGAATGCCGATTCTGGGCCCGGGAAACAAGCACAGACTGGTGGGACCGCATAGTGTTGCAGGTCTGGGATGATTCCCTGTGGCTGTGAAACTTTCGCATGCGTAAGGGCACTTTCATGGAACTTTGTGACTTGCTCTCCCCTGCCCTGAAGCACAAGAATACCAAGATGAGAGCAGCCCTCACAGTTGAGAAGGGAGTGGCAATAGCCCTCTGGAAGCTTGCAACGCCAGACAGCTACCAGTTAGTCGGGAAACAATTTGGAGTGGTAAATCTACTGTGGGGGCTGCTGTGATCCAAGAAGCCAACGCAATCACTGAGCTGCTGCTATCAAGGGTAGTGACTCTGGGAAATGTGCAGGTCATAGTGGATGGCTTTGCTGCAATGGGATTCCCTAACTGTGGTGGGGCAATAGCCGAAACGCATATCCCTATCTTGGCACGGACCACCGGTACATAAACCGCAAGGGGTACTTTTCAATGGTGCTGCAAGCACTGGTGGATCACAAGGGACGTTTCACCGACATCAACGTGGGATGGCCGGGAAAGGTACATGACGCTCGCATCTTCAGGAACTCTGGTCTGTTTGAACAGCTGCAGGAAGGGACTTACTTCCCAGACCAGAAAATAACTGTTGGGGATGTTGAAATGCCTATAGTTATCCTTGGGGACCCAGCCTACCCCTTAATGCCATGGCTCATGAAGCCAGACACAGGCATCCTGGACAGTGGTAAGGAGCTGTTCAACTATATGCTGAGCAAGTGCAGAATGGTGGTAGAATGTGCATTTGGACGTTTAAAAGCGCGCTGGCGCAGTTTACTGACTCGCTTAGACCTCAGCGAAACCAGTATTCCAATTGTTATTGCTGCTTGCTTTGTGCTCCACAATATCTGTGAGAGTAAGGGGGAGACGTTTATGGCGTGATGGGAGGTTGAGGCAAATCGCCTCGCCACTGATTACGCGAAGCCAGACACCACGGCGATTAGAAGAGCACAGCAGGGTGCTCTGTGCATCAGAGAAGCTTTGAAAACCAGTTTCATGACTGGCCAGGCTACGGTGTGACAGTTCTGTTTGTTTCTCCTTGATGAAAACCCACCCCCTTGGTTCACTCTACTTCCCTGTAAGCCAACCGCCCTCCCCACTTCGATCACCACTTGCAGAGGCAATAAAGTCATTATTGTTTCAAAATCATGCATTCTTTATTAATTCATCACACAAATAGGGGGATAACTGCCAAGGTAGCCCGGGAGGGGTGGGGGAGGAGGGAAGCACTGGGTGGGGTGGTAGATGTGGGGAGGAGGGAGGACAAGGCCACACTGCACTTCAAAACTTATTGAATGCCAGCCTTCTGTTGCTTGGGCAGTCCTCTGGGGTGGAGCGGTTGGGAGCCCGGAGGGTCCTCCCCACGTTCTTGGGCATCTGGGTGAGGAGGCTATGGAACTTGGGGAGGGGGACGGGTGGTTACACAGGGGCTGCAGCGGCGGTGTGTGCTCCTGCTGCCTTTCCTGCAGCTCCACCAGACGCCGGAGCATATCAGTGGCGGCGAACAGCGGAGGCTAACAGAGGGAGTTTGCCTGGAAGTTCGCCTGCGGAGAGACCACTGAGGCTTTCATCTTGCGGGCTTCTCTGAGTAGTTACTGCAACAGTTGAGGAAGCTCTTAGAAAGAAGGCAATATGGAAGGTGAGCATTCAGCTGTTGTAACTTGCACAGGTTGTGCCATATTTGTCTTTCTTCCACAGGACAGAAGCAACTTTGTCTGTACAAAGTGCAAGCTGGTCTCCATATTTGAAGAGAAGGTTTGCGGTCTGGAGAAACAAGTATCGACCCTGCGTTGCATAAGAGAAAATGAAGATTTCCTGGATAGACGTCAGGATATGCTTCTACGGGCACAACGTTCTGAAGAATCAGAGCAGGCTAGGCAGCAGGGACACAGGGACGGTGAAGAAATTTGGCAGCATGTGACCTCCAGAAGAAGAAAGAGGAGCGTCCATGTACCAGCAATGGAGATACAGGTGAGCAACCGTTTTCATGTTCTCTCCACAGGTATTAATGCGGAGAGTGGACTAGATGATACATCAGAGGGAAAGGAGCAGAAGGACACTCCACCGAAAAGGCCTGGGTAGAGACCGTCGAATCGTGGAAGTCAACAAATGGCTATGCAGGTGGTGTCGGAGAGAAGGCTTTGGATTCTTTGACCATGGGATGGTGTTCCAGGAAGGAGGAGTGCTAGGCAGAGACGGGGTCCACCTAACGAAGAGAGGGAAGAGCATCTTCACAAGCAGGCTGGCTAACCTAGTGAGGAGGGCTTTAAACT